TGATTATGATAAGAAAAGCTTCATGAGCACCAAATCAGATTTCTGAAGGATCATGTGACACTGAAGACTGGAGTAACAGATACTGAAAATTAAGCTTTGCAATCGCAGGAGTAAATTAAATACTAAAATATATTTTAAATTGCACAACTTATTTCTGACGCCAAACAGTAATGTACACAGACTAACAATCTCTCCCTAGAGTACCAAACTAGTTGGTTGACGTATCTGCTCAAAAGTAGTACTTCCCTTAATTAAAAACAAAAACAAAGAGTAGATCAAGACCGGTTACATTGCTACAGCAGTACTGGTTAACGTGATTCAAGATGTCAGTTTCTTCCAAAAGCACTTCCAAAGTCAACTCCATGCTTTGCGAGGTGTAGCGAGTGCCCTCTCTGCCAGCTCCACCTGGTGAGCCGCTACGCTTTCTGCCCACCTACTCTGTGTTGAGCGGCGGGGTACGAGTGGGATGGGGCAAGGTGAGGCTGGTGGGCGGGTGGTCAGGCGGGAGCTTCCTGACACGGGAGCCAGCCACACAGCAGGATCAAACTGGCTACGGCATGAATCACCACCATTCCCACCACCGACACAGCCACTTCTGCTGCTGCCACAATTAAAAACACAGAGAGGCTGCAAACTAAATATATGCAACAACACAGACCTAATAACTGCACACTAGATTTTCAAATCTGATGTACTGTAAGGTATATATATTTTTAGAAAAAGTTGGCAGAAAAAGCATACAAACAACTTTTATCTTAGCATTTTAATAATTTAATATCAGGAGGACGTTTAAAAATGAAATGCCCGACCGCGTAATGATCCTGTCTGGAGGATTAAACTGAAAATCAGAGTGCACTGAAGCAATTTTACATCTTAATATTCCAAACCCCGCACACCAAGCCTGAGTCGAGAGATATGATGAGTGCAATACCTGTGCTTCTACATTTAAATAAAAGCAAGGGGAGCTGGGATTTGGCCGTTGAGTTACTTAAGAGATAATGTTCCCGGCTCGCAAGTAAATAACGCCCTGGGGGGGGTGAAGCAGTCCCCCAAATCACTTATTAGAAAAAAAAAAAAATGGTCAATCGCCCCTGGCTTCCATTATTATGTTGGGCTGCCCAGCAGCGGGTGCAACCTTTGATCTGTTTAGGTTGGTGAGCATTTGCATTTCATAATGAGATCAAAGAAGGTCCGGACACTCCACAAGTGCCAACAGCGTTTTTAAACAGGGCAAGACTCAAACTCGCCAAACGCATTTATCCATTAGAGCAGGCCGAAACAGCTTTGGAGCATCAGTGGCTACGGCGTTTGTGAGGAATTAAGCATTTGCACACTTTTTCGCCTGCATGCAGGTGTGGAAACGCGAGAATATCATGCCGGTAGCGATGGAAGAGATTCAAGAACAAACATTTCAAGCATATTTAAACTGGTTAAGATGCGAGAACTGCTTGGGATTTTCGGCGGCACTTCAGACGAGTCTCCTGCACAATGAGATTCAGACTTTGGGTTCGAAAGTGGGTAGAGCGATGACCTGAAAAGTCACCCGGCGTTCCCGAAGCACTGCTGGTAAATCATTAGGGAGCAATTAGGCGAGAAAGTGCCAGAACCGCATTGTGAATTCTGAGGAGCAGCAGCCGTGGCAAAGCCATCATAAGCAGGCTGTGTTGTCACATCTCCTAGCGCCGCACGTTTTCTGAGTGCCTGATCAGATTACGGCCTGCTCTGTGGCTGGATTACAAACCTGTTGTGTAAACAGAGATTGAAAATTCTCGGGAGGATAACAAGAGCTTTCGCGTGGCTTGGGTCCTCCATAATCTTCTAACATCCATACATTTAATGCTTTTAAAATGAGGTTTAGCCTGGTTGCACTCCGTTACAGCTTCTATATAAGTGCTCTAAATTCAAACGGGATGAGGATGCTGGAATGCTCGGATCAGGTGGGTTGCGATGGCTTTCGCTTCACCAGAAGCAGCTTTCAGTGTCAAATGCATAAACTCAGCAGTGCATTCAGTTGGCCGCACCGCAGCCGACTCGTCAATAAATGAGTACAAAACAGCATTTTCTCGCAACTGTCGCTTACTAATTGTTTGGAATTATAAATATGAGCGTAGTTCGCCTGTTAATATCAAGGCGCACGACACGCTGACGCTTTCTCTCACACGCGCAAAGAGAAGGAGCGAGCAAGAGTCTTACATAACATGCAGAATTGATGTGATGCATGTAAATGATATACTTTGTTGTATTTTCCTGTAAAAATAACAGAGTTCCTTTGGAATTCTTCAGCTTTTAAGAACTGCCGGGTTTTCCTGTAGTAGGCGGAACTAATGCGCAAACGACAATCTCATTGGCTGGTGCTCACCTATTATCGTCCCTGTTTTGATTTCAGCGAATCAGTTCGAGCAAACGCACACAACCTGATTAATATTCATGAAGCCAGTAGCTCATTAATCCCTAGTGCGTTTTTATATTGTTCTATATTTTAAAAGACAAACAATCTGTTCAATTTCACATCACGGTGAGTTATTTTATATAGAAAAATGTTAAAAAACGCTAGTAAAAAAAAAAAAAAAACAGCAGTTAGTAAAATTTTGCATTTCACTAGCCACTGTGGCTTGTGGGCAAAAAAAGTTAATTTCTAACCCTGGTGACAACTCAACTCTAGAGTAACCGGTTTCATAATATTGCAGACAGAATGTGCTAAAATTCATCTCAAGCTGCATATCTGTCTCCCCTAATACAGCGTTAATATTTTTTGACCTTGATGAATTATCTATTCTTATTGACAGCACTTATTGATATTTCTTAAAAGCGTTGGCTAATGGAGTTCTATTGAGATGACTAAATGAGTTGCCACCGCCTGGATTAGCCTAGTCTCATCTCTCCAGCACAGCTAGAATTATCATAGAGAACAGACGTGTCCGTGCACTGGGTCGTAAATTCCTGCTGCCGACATCTCAGGGGGGATGTGGAGAGATGGAGGGCGATGACTGCACACAGACCTACATTCACCCCAGCCACGCTCGGTATATGTGCAAACGCGCAAATATAGCAGCGCGCACTTCAGAGACAAAGGATCTCTCTAAAATAATAGTCAACGGCGGTCAGAGTGAGATTCGAGCTCTCCGGTCTATTAAAAGAAACACTCGTATTGCTGTTATACAATTCTTAACACCAGCTCTGTTTTCCCATCAGTACACGCTCTTCCTCCTGTGAGATGTGTTTGTGCTGCGATATCCTGAAAGCCATTTTCCACATCACATAGTAGGATCGCACAGCGCCTCGGTCTGTCTCACACTATGCATCTAAACACAAGCACTTTCACAAAGAGTGACCAGTGTGCCTTTGATTTCAGCTATATCTTCAAACTTATATTTACGTAAATAAAAATAAGCAAAGGAACTGTGTCCAATTATCTAACTATTCAAATACTCTGTTTAAACGAATGCTAACACACTACAGAATGCATATTTGGCCCTTTGTAAACTGTCATACTGCTAGATCCTCAATATAATAGCTATAACAATACATGATATAGAGATGGAATGTGGCAATTAGTGGCCATCATTGAGAACAGCGGTGGGACGCCTCTTTCCATGAGGCTTTTGAAAAAAGGCTACATTCCAGCAAAATGGAAAGCCGTCTCTCGCTAAACGTGTCAGGGCAGCAACCTTGTACAGCGATTTCAGTGAATTTAGTGAAAAACGCAGAAATCCATTTGTTATGTCTGTCCACCGTGTAAAATGTTTGCAGAGGGGGGAGGGGAAAGGAAAAGAGAAAGGCTGATGTCACAAAAGGCTTTACAGGTGCTAGCAAGCAATTTAACTTACAGCCATCTTCCTAGGTACCACGGACGGAGTGTGAGCACGTTTCTAGCAAGAGAATAAAAAGGTTCGTTTTAAATGAGTAAAAGCACCACGTTGACCCTCAAACTCACCTCAGAAATCTGCAAATACAAATCTTTTCAGTGGAAATAGCGTTATGCTTCTGGAGGGAAGAAAACTTAAGGAAATAGGATTGATAAATATGCAATTGAAACTCTCCTGCTCTGTAATCCACAGACAACAATGGGGTGGAAGTGTATGGAGCCACATGTTTGATTTGTTATTTTGATTATAGTTATCAAGTAAAACCTGCATCTGTAAACATATTTTAAGGTGATTTTTAAAATGACAAAATCATGTGTTGCTCTCATATCTACAGTGACATAAATATCCGAGCAAAAGAGGGTGGTGTTTGTGAAAATATGCTCACCAACAGATAGACGCATAGACGCACACACACACACGCATGCACGGTGACACGTCTCGCACGGATATGAACCACGTACATCTTGTCTGCCTGCAATAAAGCTGTGCTACCGATTCTATTGCCAATAAATGTCAACTGATTGGAAAGCTCATTCTAATATCAATTTCCATCTCCGCTCTTTAAAAGGCAATCAGCACGGCTTCATCTCTGTATATCATATGCTCCTTGAGATGGTGACACAGCAATGGCTCTCTCCAACATAATGGACTTCTATCAAGGCATCTGGCATGAATAATACAAGCCATGAAAGGCACTTTTTTCCCTCTTCTATGGCTTGTGTGGCTGGATCTGGCTGGGTGAATATCAACACACTTCCTTCTCACACGTGTCTCCAAAAAGAGCCTTTATTTTCTTGTGTCTAGAGAGACAAGATACGGTGTCAAATATTAATGGTCATAAACAGATCTGAATGGCGCTTTGCAAAATAGCAGCGTGGCTGTTGCTTTTATATTTTCGAAGCGCTCCTTGGTGAGGAAATGAAGAAAAAAAAAAAGCCTTGACAGCATAAGAAATGAGAATAATTTCACACATTAACCTTGGCAGTCTCCTCTGACTAAATTCAGGGCTGATTCGGTACACTGATTGAATTTAAGTGAAGGGACGTCACTCGTGTGCATGCAAATGTCTCTGACGGGCAGAAAGCAAATAATGACAAATTAACTGGCGCTTACAGTCAGCGCCTCGCCCCTTACCTTCCACCCGCTGCCGGCTTCCCTGTAATAGGGGAAATTGTCACAGATCCACTGGTAGATCTCGCTCAGTGTCATTTTCTTCTTTGGCGAGCTGTTGATGGCAAACGTGATGAGGCTGGCGTAGCTGTACGGTGGTTTGCCGTCCTTGTGCTGCTGCACCTCCTCCTGGTCCAGTGTGGTGTTGGGGTCCAGCAGGGCGCTCTTCTTAGCCATGCCCGGCCCGTGAGCGTTCTGGGTGTCCGCTTTCTGAATGGCCGCCCGCATGGTCAGCTGTGGCAGCCAGTCCATGGAGGTCAAGCTGCTCTCCAGCTCCGACGTCATGGTGGCAGGTCGAGTGGCGGTGGCAAAGGAGAGGTGACGATTCAGTGCGGCGGCGACGCAGAGGTTCCCTCAGATCACTGTTTTTGTCGGCGTCACTCAAAAACTAAACCTGTAGAGAAGAGCGAGAGAGGGGATCATTATATTGCCCGACACTGTCAGGATATGAGTGATCGCTTCTGAAGCGCGCTGACACTTCAATAGTTAGAACCACTACAGCTGGAACCAATGTCATTTTAATTAGCACATTCAAACAGGCAGCATTTCTCTTTGGAGAGAAGCTCTAGAACAGACGGAGATCTGCAGACAAACCAAAAAAAAAACATTGAGCTGCACAGACCGGCCAAGCCGTCTGGCCCACCTCCTACCTCCGGCCTGCACCCTGCAGCTGACTCACACAACTGTAATCCGAGCTGCAAACTGAGTAAATGCTGCGGAATTGTTTTCACAACTGCCAGCCAAATGGGGGAACGGTTCACATGGATTTCCAGTTCTCCTGAGGGTAGCATAACCCTTTCTATTTCCCTCTACCCTCCCCCCCCCTCCATCTCTCTGCGTTGTAAACAGGCCTCGGAGTCGTCGTCTTGCAGCACGATCTCTCATTCCCATCTGCGGCTGCACCCTACACCCACAGACAACCTTGTGTGTTAGGCACGCTGCCCTCTCTGGCTCAAAATAGTAGCAAAAGCGTCCAGTCTCATAGGTACACGGTCGGGCGGCTTAATCCATCTACAGTTCCAGGGCTCTACACTTATTTTTCTTTTTAGGAGCGCTTGTGCTCCTAACTTAAAAAATTTAGGAGCACAGTAAAAAATTTAGGAGCACCCTAGATTCGTTTAAAACCGCCGTTCATTCATAAACGAAACACCACTGTGTTTGAATGGAGACGCGCAGCGGCTGAGCTGTGACTTTGTTTGAAACTATTTTCGACGACGAAATAGAGCAAAATCAGACAATAGTGGTTTTCATAGTCGCACGCAGTAGTTTTCAGTCGCACTGTAGAGCCCTGAGTTTGCACAGAACGTCTTATTGTGAAAATGACAACACGACTGGAAAAAAGGCACCAGGGGAGGGGATATCCCACATATTATTCAGACGAACCTCGGTTTAAAAATACCTCCCCGGTTCTCTCGGGAACCTCATTGAAATTCCTCTAGAATGGCGGAAAGCGAGCGCGAGCCTCTGAAATCTGATAAATGAGATGTCTGTGAGGCCAGTGCTATGACAGACTGTCTTTTTTTCATCATTCTGTCATTTCCATAAAGGTGAGTCATGACCCTCTAATTTAAAAGATTTTTTCCACACAAGGATGGGACCCTCTGATCCAGCTGAAGTGCAAACTTAAAATTCGAATTTAGCATCCTTGTCATTCACATGCAGGAAATTGGCACCTTTGGGCACTTGCTAATTAAAAGAAATCAAATCTATACGCAATGGACTCTTCAATTTCTCATGCATCCAATCTGATTTTCACATAGACTGTAGAAATAAACTGCATTGACAAACTGAAACTGCTGCATGTTGCAACAAACAGGCAACCAACCTGAAAGCAATGTCAGGCAGACAGCAGCCAAATAAATGTAAAAGTTAAGGCAACTATCCATATACAACCTGAACTTGCTTTTGGAAAAAACTCGCTTCCAAATTCATTAATGTAAATGTATGGTTAAGCCAATATCTGAAGTTTTCTAATTTTAAAAATCAGTCATGTTATCAACATTTATATTAAAAAAATCCTGTGGTGACATGTTAATGTCATCTCAAACTATTTTAAACAGGATTTTTCTTATTTTTCACAATGAATGCAACATTTATGACCTTAAATTAAACTACATGAGAACCATTTATTTCAAATGTTAAATTTTTTTTTTTAAACAATACACATTCAAAATACATTTTAACCCAAACACTTCACATTGATTCAGAAAAAAAGGCTCATGTATATGCTGGATAACAACAGTGCTTTCAATAAAGGAGAATTTGCAAGCTTTGCCCTCGTTGATTATGACCATATATGCATTTGAATGTAAAGACTACACAAGAAACACCAAAGCTGACTGTAGCAGATAAAACTGTGGGCAGCAGAGTCAGAATTGCTCAGAAAAACTTTGAAATATTGATCAAAATAAAAGAGTTGGATATCAAAAAAGTAGGGCTGTGCAAAAAATCGAATGCGATTTTCATGCGCATCTCGTCAGTAAAGCCGCTTCTGTGATTAGTAGTAAATCTCCAGCACGTGCTTTCAGATGAAGCGGCATTTACTACACTACACGCAGTTCACTGACAAGCTATGCAAAATCGCTTTCAAAATCGCAGGCGATTCATTGCCGATTATGAACGCGATTTTCCGTAGCTTGTCAGTGAACTACGGCTCTGTGTAGTAAATGCCGCTCCATCTGAAAGCACATGCTGGAGATTTACTACTAATCACAGAAGCGGCTTTACTGACGAAATGCGCATGAAAATCGCATTCGATTTTTTGCACAGCCCTACAAAAAAGCATCAGATATAAAAAGCTGCAATAAAATAACTGAAGCAAAGTTCAAAACTTTCACATCAAGTTTTAACTAAGTCATCTGATTTTTTTTGGAAGGTCAGAGTGACCAAAACAATGCTAAAATACTTCAGGTGAACTTATAAAACACTTATATAGAACAGTTCTTATAACAAAAAAAAAAGCTGATTAAATGTTAATTTGGACTTAGGATAAATATTTTAATATTTGTGAGGCTATTCATGCCACGTGCATAATGCACAATGTATTTTAAGGCTTTGACTAATAAAGTAATGCATTACAAAAATGCCAAATTATGCATGCAGAATGAGGCATTCTGTGCACTTAATATTCACATCACCATCCCACAAACCACAGAAGTATCCCTGCAAGAATTCTGAATGATGAAATCTGCAGATAAAGGTTCAAGTCTCAAGCATCACCTACTTGCTACAGGGCTGCTGCCATTTTGACTCCATGCACATCACCCAGGGATGCACTGCTCTCAGGAGCGCTGCTGTGGTAATTAGCGCACCTCTGCAGTGCCAGGCAGTAAAATGCAGCCTGCATCTCCCCTCATTAACAGTGGCACCTATACAGATGACTCTGTTACAGGCCTTTGCTGCAGATGAGCATGCATTAACTGGCACTGAAAAGGGATATGGCTGGTGGCCATTATGCACACATCCACAGAGTTAGGCAGTTCAGTCTACTGAAGTCAGTAGCCCCCTGGGAACTGATTACAACAAATGCATGTCACTGCTTTGAATTAAGAAAATAGTACTGATTACTACTACTTGAGCCAAAATGATTTACCATTTGATACTAGAGCTGCAGAATGTAATTGTTTTTACGATGCTGATGTGAACACTTCTGCATTGATGCATTAACACAAAAGAATCAATATTTTACAAAATGTAATTAAATAGGCCTATCATACATATTAATGTACTGTTTTATTGTAAATACCGTAGGCTACACTTCTTATATATGATTAAATAAAGTTGCATATGTGCTTAGGAAGCAAAGCACTTGTAGATAGACAGATAGACAGAATTATTTCAAAATATCTGTCTTGGTGAGCATTCAGGTAAATACAACTGGTTATGTCTTAATTGAACAGAAAAAAATTGGGGGGGAAATCTGATGTGTAATATTATATTAGACCTGTGCATTAACCTGCTGCTGTCTGGGTGATTTATGTTAATCAAACAACAAAAGAAAAGGGTAAACACTCTTGACTGATCTTGACTGAATATCTTTTGCAGCTTTAATTAATAATCAATTTATTTGCAAATAATTAATTAAAAACTATGAAGTGATTATTCTTACATTTGATTATATTTCTGTATTATTTATTCTACATGCATGCTTCTGCTAAATAGATTTAAAATGAGGGAAAAAAAGTAAAGCATTGTTAACATCATTTATAAACAAATCGCTACCCTCTGAATCGTAACCGAATCTAATCGTGAAGCAAGTGAAGATTCTCACCTATATTTGATACACATTTGCTATTTGACAAAAGGTTAAACGTTTAAGTGTTTTAGGTGCTTAAAAAGAAAAAAATGTTGCCTTTTTAAATGAAATAAAATAAGTACTAAAATACCTAAATTAAAGCAAATTCCTAGATAAAAGCAAAATTGAAATATTTTTAAAAAAATTATAAAAGCACATAAAAAGTATGCACTGAAAAGTGTTATTATTGAATGTCTTCTATAAAACAAATTATAAAATTACATACATTAATATATATGTATATGCATATGTGAGTTATATGCAAAAGGTAGATTTTACCAACAAGGCCATGTTGAAACAATGAGAGCGGTTTAGTAACAACTCACAAACTGTGCAAATGCTCTGAGTGTTAATATTCATTGTCTTATAGAGTGCATTAAGAAACGCTTGAGAATTCTCAAGGTAAAATATACAAAGGCAAATGCGATCCTACTGTAATTCAAAGACGACAATTACTGGGAGCAATCTCTTTCCAAAACTCAATATCATCCGATCACAGTGTTAAAAGAGAACGCGAGCAAACTCGTGTGTGTACATGGATGTGTGGATTAGTAAGCAGACTTGCGGTGGAGAAGGCCCCGTTGGGGGGATGGTAACTTGGCTTTGGCAGAGGGGAATCACTCTCTGTGAGCTCCTTCCACAGCGCCTGAAGACCTGGCACACCGCTTCACAACAAAAACAGTGATGTAACCTAGTAACAAGCCCTTGGCTTTTCTACTCCTAACCGAAACTCTGGCCATGTCTTCTACATCAACAACATTATTACGGCGTGTAGAAAGGCTTGTGTTGTCTTAGCGATCATGAAAGAGAAAACAGGGAGGGGTGGGAAACACGCTCACCTGCCCCAGAGTAAAAAGGAGATTCCTCATTTTTTCCAACGCCCTAGGCACTGCTCTGGAGTTATTTTTGAAAACAAGAATAACTAAAATAGCAACGGCTCATTGTTTCGCCTGAATGTCGAAGTGCTGTAATTGTTCGCTGCGGCCAGCCCGAAGACTCATCTTCATTAAATGGAAAAGTAGGTAACAGCAACAGCTTTTAAATGTCAGTCTTCCCTCTCCATTAAAGGCTTAATGGTTGCATTGAAACCACCCCCAGGG